ATCCAAGTATGTGAGCATTTAAACACTAATGATCTGTTGAGGAATTTCAGTCTGGTTTTAGAGAGTATCACAGCACTGAAACTGCATTAGTGAGAGTTACAAATGATATTCTCATGGCCTCAGATAAGAATCTTGTGTCTGTTCTAGTCTTGTTAGATCTCAGTGCTGCCTTTGACACAGTTGATCACAATGTTCTTTTAGAAAGACTTGAACATGTTGTAGGGATCAAAGGAACAGCGTTAGGCTGGTTTAAATCCTACTTGTCTGACAGATTTCATTTTGTAAACGTACATGACAAATCGTCTTCATACTCCAGGGTTACTTGCGGAGTACCACAGGGTTCAGTGCTTGGACCAATTCTTTTTACTATATATATGCTCCCAATTGGTAAAATCATTAGACAGCATGGGATAAACTTCCACTGTTATGCTGACGATACTCAGTTATATTTATCCATTAACCCTGATGAACCTAATCGGTTGGGTAGATTACAGGCTTGTCTTGAGGACATAAAAAATTGGATGACTCTTAACTTCTTGCTTTTAAATCAAGACAAGACGGAAGTTCTCATCTTTGGACCAGAAATCCAGAAAAGGAAATTGCTTAGCCAATCGCCTGACCTTAATGGCATTACATTAATCTCCAAGAACAAAGCAAGGAACCTTGGTGTTATCTTTGACCAGGACATGTCATTCAAATCCCAGGTTTCACAAGTTTGTCGGATTTCCTTTTTCCACCTTCGGAATATTGCTAAGATTAGAAGCATACTTTCCAGGAGTGATGCTGAAAAACTAGTTCATGCATTTATTACATCAAGACTGGATTACTGTAATTCATTACTCTCAGGAAGTCCACAGAATGTAGTTAAAAGTCTTCAGCTTGTCCAAAATGCTGCAGCTAGAGTTCTGATGAGAATTAAAAAGAGAGATCATATCTCTCCTGTCTTAGCTTCCCTACATTGGCTACCTGTTAAATTCAGAATAGATTTTAAGATCCTTCTTCTCACATATAAAGCTCTTAATAATCAAGCTCCATCATACATCAGTAATCTGATTGTTCCATATGTTCCTAACTGAGCACTTCGCTCTCAGACTGCAGGCCTACTGGTGGTTCCAAGAATATTTAAACTTAGGATGGGAGGCAGATCTTTTAGTTATCAGGCTCCTCTCCTGTGGAACCAGCTCCCAGCTTTAGTCCGTGAGGCAGACACTTTGTCTACTTTTAAGAATAGGCTTAAAACATTTTTATTTGATAGGGCCTATGGTTAAAATCTGATGTTAGCCTAAATCTGGACAAGTGGGGGATTACAGGGAGGTGGAGTGTACAGTCGGTAAAGACGGCTCTCCCTTGCCCTGCCTCCAACATGCCTACATCTAAATAGGATAGGTTATCCAGAGTTAACTCTGTAGTTATGCTGCTACAGGCTTAGACTGCTGGAGGACACACTGACCACTTTTCACACTCTACTACTTTCTTCTACAGTCTGCTCTTTAACTGTACTATTTTGTGCAATTTCATCTGTTAACTTTATTTTCTCTGTAAGTGTTTTTCTCCCCAGAAGAAGCTACAATGACGTTCTGCTGAGCTGTGGTGGCCTCATGGAGGGGGCCATCGACTAGCACACTGCTGCTAACCACTAATACATTCTCTCTCTCCTGATAATAACTTTTTGTTTTCATTGACTTTTGATGTGCTACTACTAGTTTATCCGTTTAATTATAGATCCACTAGGATAAATACAATAAAGTTTATCTTTCACCAAATAGAATATTTACTAAGACATCACAATATAACTATAGACACATTACGTGTGTGTGTGTGTGTGTGTGTGCGTGCATGCGTGCGTGCGTGTGTGTGTGTGTGTCTGCTCTGTCTTCTCGATCCCCAGTGAGTCGTGGAGGATGGCTGCTTATACTGAGCCAGGATTCTCTGGAGGTTTCTTCCTGTTAAAAGGGAGTTTTCCTCTCCACTGTCGCTGCATGCTTGCTTAGTATGAGGATTGCTGTATAGTCACTGACACTAGTCAGTGACTTGATGCAATTTGCTGGGTTCCTTATATAGGAAACATTATTTCTGATTGGCTTAATGAACTGTGAATTGGAATGTTTATTATGTGAAGTGCCTTGAGACGACTCTTGTCGTGATTTGGCGCTTTATAAATAAACTTGAATTGAATTGAATTGAATTGAACAGCCGCCTCAACAATCGCAGAGTGGTACAAGGTCCACTCGGAGTCAATGTCCCCCACTGCTCTCGGGACGCAGTCAAAGCTCTGCCGGAGGTGGGAGTTGAAGACCGTCTTAACAGGTTCTTCTGCCAGGCGTTCCCAGCAGACCCTCACTATGCGTTTGGGTCTGCCAGGTCTACGCGGCATCTTCCCCTGCCATCTGATCCAACTCACCACCAGGTGGTGATCAGTTGACAGCTCTGCTCCTCTCTTCACTTGGGTGTCCAAAACATACGGCCGCAGGTCAGATGATACGACTATAAAGTCTATCATCGACCTGCGACCTAGGCTGCCCTGGTACCAAAGCCCCATTCCCATCTGTACCGGGTCGGCCCGGGCCGGGTAGCGTAGGTTGTTTACATATCTGGGTGGCCTGGTATTTATCCGGGCCAACCAAGGCTCATTCTCAGCCCTCTTCTCGAGGGGGTCTGCTTCAGGCCAACCAGGGCCAACACGCCCACTGCTGACAGCAAATTCACACCTTCCATTAGAGCAAGCCTCTGATTGGTGGGTAGAATCAGCCCACATGGGCTTAAGACAAGGATGTGTGGAAGCAACCGGGCCAGGCTGGGGCGGACTGGGGCTACCCGGCCCGGGCCGACCCGGTACAGATGGGAATGGCCCACAAGTGTACCGATGGGCATCCTTATGTTCGAACATGGTGTTCGTTATGGCCAAACTGCGGCTTGCACAGAAGTCCAATAACGAAACACCACTCGAGTTCAGATCAGGCGGGCCGTTCCTCACAATCACACCCCTCCAGGTCATGCTGTCATTGCCCACGTGAGCATTGAAGTCCCCCAGCGGGACAATGGAGTCCCCTGATGGAACACTATCTAGCACTCGTCCCAGGGACTCCAAAAAGGTTGGGTACTCTGAACTGATATTTGGCCCATAAGCACAAACAGTCAGGACCCGTTCCCCGACCCGAAGGCGCAAGGAAGCTACCCTCTCGTCCCCCGGGGTAAACTCCAACACACAGGCAGAGTCTTGGGGCTAACAAAAAGCCAACCCCAGCCCTCCGCCTCTCACCTGGAGCAACTCCAGCAAAGGAGAGTGTCCAACCCCTCTCAAGGACTTGGGTTCCCGATGTGAGCTTGTAAATTCTTTTTAATGTGTTGAATTGTTCCAAATCGCATCATGAATTGTATCGAATCAAAAATCGTTAGCAAATCAATAAGGAATTGTGAGCAGGGATGAATCGTATCAGCTCGGGGTTTCACCATTTCGTTAATGTATCATATCACTGGCAGCGTATCGAGATACAAATCGAGTCGGCCTCAGCGGTGAAGATTCACATCCCTAGTGCGTACAAGCTCGCAAGCGTGTTGTGAGCTAGCGTTGTGATTTTGCACTACTTAGGTGTAGCCATCCTTACGCCGACAAAAAAGTAACTAAGTAATTTCTACTTAGAGTACATTTTATTAACGATGCCTTTTACTTTGACTTGAAACAAAATTCTGGCAAATAGTTTTGCTTGTACGTGAGTAAGAAATGATCAAATTATTAGTACTTGCACTTAAGTAATTTCATTGCTCTTTTTACCTCTGGACAAGGAACGCTTACCCCTCCCCTGTTAAATCCGATCTTTTTCACCTGATTCCGATTTTTTAAAAGTTACGTGATCGGATCAGAGCATCCCTAGTATTCACTTCTACTAGAGACCACTGCAAATGTATAGAATACATAAACAAGTGAACCAGACCTTTAATAAATCCACTGAAACAATCCATTGTTGCGGCTGCTGGAGGTTTGTAAAGACTGAATGATTCATTTTTATGTTCTGACTGGGTTCTCCTAGACTGGTCGTAACAATGCAAATCAAATGAATCAGGACTACATCATGCTAAACACATCCACAGGTGTGACTACAAGGAATTTTTAAATAATTGAAGCAATTAATAATAAAACTAATTATGTGTGTTTAAAGGGAAGTTACCAAAATATTTATCTAGTAAATCTACCAGAAACAATGCAACCCCTACTGCACACTGGAAGCATCAGCGGTGCGGAACAGCAGCAGAACGGTTTACTTGAGACAATCACAGCACTCCAGTGCACACCGAGAGAGTCTCAGCAGCAAAGTGACTTCTCTGCTGTGCTCCTCGCTCAACTCGTGAGATCACAAAATCCCTCGAGACTTCCGCCAACCTCTTTTTGCGAGATCACAAGATGCCTTGAGACTTCGAAGGTTACGATTTATCTATGCAATCCGCCACTAAACCCAAAAAATAAGAAAATCACCTTTTATACCGCTGTTGTATGTCATATATGATGTTGTTCCTCTCCACTGCCAGGATTAAAGCCATGAAAAACACACCACTGCCCTTCTGGAACGATACTGGGAGTAAATAAGTCACACACACATAAGCTACACAAGTACTTTTATTTTCTACATCTGCTGAGATTTTACACTGAAACCGTGTGTGATTACCATGTTAACTGTGGAAATTGTTGCATCCCAGAAGCGGCTTGTGGAAAAAACAGAACCCAATCCCATCTGTAGTGCAGTGCGCTTCTAAGATGCATCTGAAAATTGCCACGTCAGGGCTGGTTTGTAACACTCCATAAACTATAACAGATTCTATTGGAGGCGGTGCTGTTCCGCTGTCATTCCGTGCTGCTGATGCTTACAATGTGCAGTAGGGCTAACTCTTGCTGGCCTAATGAGTTAACAGACAGCTTTCTCTTGATCATATAGAGATCACCGGAAGTCAGTCAACGGTTTTCCTCTCGTCTAATTTTGTGATGTCTGTCTCTCTGTAAAACTTACGATCTTTGACTTGAAGATGTCAAGAAGGCCAGACAAATGATTGTACTGGCTTGGCACCTTGCGGAGTTGAACCATTTCAAAACTGGTTCGTACACCTGGACCATGGCATTCTCCAGCGTAGATCCTTCTCCACTTCTGCTGGATCTGGACAAACATGGGGATCTGACTGGATGCAGAGAAAGAAGAAGGGAGGAGGTATTAGTGCAGACTCTAGCCTCTACCAGAATCCAGGTATAGATTATATCTGAATACAGCTAAAATGCTCAGGGGGATTCTGATCCTGATGACAAAACTGTCCAACTAGGACTCACCATCCACTGTTAGCCAGAGAAATGGAGACAGAGCTGAGCAGCAGGTTGCATTTGGACTCACTGATGACTGCTTCGCTGTTCGTCCCAGGGGTGATGACCACAAACTCCTGTATGCCATACCTGAGACACCGTATTCACAGAATTTATAGATCAAACAGTATGCTCACATTAAATAAAGATGCACACAGCTCTAAGCTTCTGGTCAAATAAACCACAGGTTGCTCTAAACAATATATTAAAGAGACAATGTGTAGCTTTTATCTTTAATCTGTGAAAATATCCATTAAAATGTTGTTGAAAATGAATAAAATTATGACCAGTTGTTGAAAAATATTGGCGGCTTAGTACCATATAACCATAAAAATCGGGTCTAATGGCTTGCGTCATTTGGAATATTAGGATGTCCAAAGAAGGTCCCGCCTTCCTCACCTCTGATTGACTAGTGGGGCTCTATTACAATTAGCTATTTCATTAAGCAGCAGTCTTCTCTTGCTAAGTGCAGACTGTCCTCCTTCCACCAACAGAACTGCTGTTTTGTGGAGTTTTGTAAAGAAAATGTGAACTTGGTGCTATAATAACCATTCTGTCCTGTTTTGCAAAATAGTTTTTTCTGTTTCTTTTATTTAAAAAAAATTACTGAAAATCGTAAAAAGTGAACTTTTAACAAAGGTGGCAATGGCGGTACCATTGACAAATTTACAGGAAGCAGCATCCTGACCACCCACTCCTTGGGCTGCCACCTTATCATGGTGGAGGAGTTTGAGGGTCCCAATGACCCTAGTTGTCCAAGCCTTTATGCCTGCCACCACCCATCCCACACACGGGTGGTGGATGAAAGTAGGGGCCTTGGCTACAGAAGCCAGCTCTCGGTATGTGGAATGTCACCTCTCTGGTGAGGAAGAAGCCTGAGTTGGTGTTCAAAGTTGAGAGATTCTGACTAGATATAGTCGGACTCACCTCGATGCATGGCTCTGGCTACGGAACCAGTTTCCTTGAGAGGGGCTGGAAACTCTACCACTCTGAAGTTGTCCCAACTGAGAGGCATCAAGCAGGGGTGGGCACACCAGTTGCCCCCCATCTTGGTGCCTGTACATTGGGGTTTATTCCAGTGAACGAGAGGGTAGCCTTCCTCCACCTACGTGTGGGGGGATGGACCCTGACCGTTTTCTGTGCTTATGAACCAAAGTACAGTTCTGACTACCCACCCGTTTTGGAGTCCTTAGAGGAGGTGCTGGAGAGTGCTCCTTCCGGTGACTCCCTTGTTTTGTTGGAGGGCTTTAACGCTCACATGGGCAACAGAGTGTGGTGGGGAGGAACAGCCCCCCAATCTGAATTCGAGCAGTGTTTTGTTATTGGACACCTGTGCTCATCATGGAATGTCCACAATGAACACCATGTCCATAAAGGTGTCCATATGTGCTCATAGCACCAGGATACCTTAGGCTACAGCTTGATGATAGACTTTGTTATCGTCTTATCTGATTTGTGGCTGCATGTCTTGGACACTTGGGTTAAGAGAGGGGCGGAGCTGTCAACTGGCCACTACTTGGTGATCAGTAGGCTTCGATGTTGGTGGAGGATGCTGGTAAGACCTGGCAGACCAAAATATATTGTGAGGGTCATCTGGGAATGTCTGGTGGAATCTCCTGTCAGAAGAAGTTTCAATTCCCACCTCCAACAGAACTTACAAAATGTTCTGGTGAAGGCAGGGAGTCCGAGTGGGCCATGTTCCATGATTCCATTGTCGAAGCAGCCGATCGGAGCTGCGGTCGCAGGGTCTTCAGTGCCTGTCATACTGGCTATCCCTGAACCTGCTGGTGGACACCGACGGTTAGGGATGCAGTCAAGCTGAAGAAAAAGTCATATCGGGTCTTTTCGGCCAGTGGGACTCCAGAGGCAGCTGATGGGTACCAGCCAAGCGTAATGCGGCAAAGGTGGTCACAAAAGCAAAAACCCAGGAGTGGGAGGAGTTCAGTGAGACCATGGAGCAAGACTTCTATAGGGCTTTGAGGAGATTCTGGTCTACCATCCAGTGCCTCAGGGCAAAACAGTGTGCTACCAACACTGTTTATAGTAGGAATGGTGAGCTGCTGACAACGACTCGGAGTGTTGTGGATCGGTGGGCAGAGCACTTTCAAAACCTGCACAATCCCACCGGCAAGTCTTCCAGTGAGGAAGCAGAGGACTTTGGGTTGGACTCTCCAATCTCTGGTGCTGAGGTCACTGAGTTGGTCAAAAAGCTCTTTGGTGGCAAGGCTCCAAGGGTGGACGAGATCGGCCCAAAGTTCCTTAAGGTTCTGGATGTTGTAGGGTTGTGTTGGCCGATGCAGCTCTGCAATATCGCATGGACATCAGGGACAGTTCCACTGGATTGGCAGATGTTGTGGAATTTTTTTAGAGACTTAATAAAAGAATGAGAAAGCAGTCCATGATTCAATCAAAAGGGTTTAATTTCAATATTGCAATATCGAAATGAGGTGACAGTCACAGAGGCTCTTCCCAAAGCAGCCTCCAGGTTGAGTCCTGCTCAGCAGAGGCCCCCACACTCTATATATTCCCCTTTTTCCACAGGGTGGCAGGGCTCTCCTTTAGAGATAGGGTGAGAAGCTTGATGCTCCGGAAGGGGCTTGAAGTAGACCCGCTGCTCCTCCACATTGAGAAGAGCCAGTTATAGTGACTCGGGCATCTACTTAGGATGCCTCCTGAACGCCTGCCTCCCTGGCGAGGTTTTAGAAAGATAGTCTCTCAGCTTTTCCAGTAGCTGGTGATGGTCAACATTGTCAAAGGACCTAAACTAGGGAGACGGCGACAGAGAAGGAGCGCTAAGAAAGATAAGACGAGAACCACACCAGAGCAGATCCTGATAGGCCTACCCAGTCTCTCAGCCTCTCCAGTAGCAGGTGATGGTCAACAGTGCCAAAGGCTGCAGTCAGGTACAGCAGGGCCAGAACAGAACAGTCCCCTGCATTACTGTGAGTCAGAAGGTCATTAGAGACCCTAAGAAGAGCTGTTTCAGTAGAATGAGCTCTACGAAAACCTGACTGGAAGCTATCATAGATGTTATGTTCATCAAGAGCAGCTGTGAGTTGTTTAGCCACAACCTTTTCCAAGATCTTGGAGATGAACGGAAGTTTAGAGATGGGTCTGAAGCTGCTATGGAGAGAGGGGTCAAGACTCGGTTGTTTAAGAAGCGGGTGGATTACAGCGTTCTTAAAGTAAGCAGGGACCTGACCAGAGACCAGAGAAGCATTAATTATAGAGAGCACGCTGGGACCGATGGACTGAAAAGCACTTTTAAACAAAGATGAGGATAAGATGTGGAGGGGGCATGCAGAGGTCTTCATAGAGGTACCGTATTTTCCGGACTATAAGTCGCACTTTTTTTCAAAGTCTGGCCGGTCCTGCAACTTGTACTCCAGAGCGACTTATATACCAAATGATGTAGGCTATACTGCGCTGCTGCGGGCCGGCTCTGGACCAGGAATTAGCTCCCCTGTCCCACTGGGAATAAAAAACACACAGCCATCGCCTGGTGGAGCCTGCTGCGTGTCCTTGCTCACTAGATCCGGCCCAGGTTTCAGCTCCTCTGCCCAGTCATTGTTAATTCAAAATACAAGACGACGTCGTCTCATGCCAAAAGCTTTATTCCTCCGCCATTTTCTCCCCGCTCACACAACAACAACTCCCGGGCTTCCAGAACTCCCGCGATACAACAGGTACTCTCGCGATACAACAGATACTCTCGCGATATAACAGCAAATAACAAGTTAACAATCTCCCTCTTTCTTTCTCAAAAAGTAAATAATAAAAAAATAAAATAAAATTATAAACACATCCCTGTAAACATTTGTATATGCATGTGCAAATTCATATAAACAAAAGGAACATTTCAACGCGCTTTGCTTTACTTAAAGCAAACTATCATAACAATAAACAATAGTCCATTTTAATGCAAAGACAACTTTGTAAACAAAGGATTACAGTATCCAGAGCCCTTCATCTAGTGCCTTTAGAAGGGTCAAAGGTGAAACTCCTTTTTTTGTCAGACAATCAACAAGTTGAGATTTTGAATCTGACCAACAAATCTGTCTGATTTTCTTGGCTTGTATGAGCTCTTTAATGCTGCTTATTTCCAGCCTGAGTCTTTTTTCTGTAACCTGCTTGGTAGACCTGAGTGCATCAAACAAGGAATGATTGTCAGTCACACAAATCAAAGGAAGAGCGTTCAGACCAGTGTTGCCAGTAGTAAGCTCAGAAAAAAGTGTTGCCAGGAATACAGCACTGTCTATTCCATCTGACATGGCAAGGGTCTCTCCTGCTAGTGTACTTCTGACCACACGCCTGATTTTTTTAGACTGCCAAAAGAGAGGACAAAACTTTCCTCCTTTACCCATGAGGACGATTAATGTCCCTCCTTGGGTACCTCCGTCAGGAAGGTTGCCAAATGAAGCATCACTGAAAATAACCAAAGCCAAATCCTCACTGTTACCCAAATGCTGAAACTTAAGAGTCACTTTCTCTGCTTTAAGTTTACGGATAAATTTGTTCACTTCATGAATAGACTGTACAGTTGCATGTTTGATATTGGATCCAAGGCTACATGTGTCAAACATAACATCAGGCCTCGTTTGTTTGGCAACCCACAAAATCTGTCCTATTTTTGACCTGAGTTGCTCACATTCTGTTTCACTTAAGGAAGCTTCTCTCTGTACAGCACGTGCTGCTTGTAACTGAACCGGTTGTAGGTTGTCAATGTAAAGTTGTTGATGCACCTCTATTCCATCGTTAACTGCACAAATGTCCATACCAACATAAGAAAAGTTGTCATGTTCTTCACGGCCCACAAGGAAGGTACATTTCAGTACAGGAATGATATGAGTTGCAAAGTGACTTGAACCAGCCCAAAGGAAATCATCAACGTGACATGCAAGCACTCCTGTAATCTCAGATTGGTCATTCTGCCAATAGAACACTGCAGGATCAACCTGTGATATTTTACCACCAGTTTTGAGCATAATGTCTTTGACCTTATTGTACCAATAAAGTGAAGCATCTGCAAGTCCATAAACACACTTTTTCAGTTTCCATAAAACCTTGACTTTGCCAGCTTCAGGTGGGGG